TCCCCCGGGCATGCCCCCTTACACACCACGGATTCCCCCTGGCAGGGTCTTTTCATGAGCACACACTCTCTCCCCTTACAGGAAACCCATACCACACACTGTTTCCCCCTGCAGGCCCCCCCCTGGCACACACTGCCTCCCCGTGCATGCCCCCCGGACACTGCCTCCCCCTGCAGCCCCCCTACACACTGCCTCCCCCTGCAGGCCCCCCACACACACTGCCTCCCCCTGCAGGCCCCCCCTGGCACACACACACTGCCTCCCCCTGCAGGCCCCTCCCTGGCAGTTCAGCAGCTCCTCCCAGCACGGACCACCCCTCCTGTTACCCATGCCCTGCTGTTGCCCACCTCTGCTTCCCGGCAGACACCGGGTTGTGTTTTACGTTGACTCCCTGGGGCCACGCCCTGGGGCCCAGGTCCCTGACTGGCTGCGCTGGTCATCGTGCCCGCAGGACCGTGTGCAGGGGAGGCGCACGTCGCAGGCTCTCACTCAGCACTGCACACACTGGAGCACACGTGTGTTCAGCGCGTGATGCAGTGGAGAGATTTTTATGAAGTTGGTTCGTGAGTGAAGCACGTAACCGACGGCATAGTGTGCGTGAGTGGGTGCGTGGCTAGTCTGAAGGGCAAGGCCACCAGGTTGCAGGCGTCCCCTGGGGAAATGTCACGTTGTTTGTCTGTTAGGAGAAGAGAACAGAGCGAGCGTCGCTTTGTCTGGGCCTCCTGTGAGCATCAGCTTTTGGACGCCTGAGCAGACACAGCGCCCCCTGCAGTGGGCAGCGAGAACTGCGGTCTCCCCGGTGCAGGTCGGTGCTGACTGCGGGTCCTGGGGTGGAGCTCACCAGGGTCAGGCAGAAGGAGTTTCCTTCAAGCCACTTGTTCCCCTGCACATCAGCCGTCTGGAGGAGGAGCCAAACGCATGGGCGTGGCTGAGTGAAATGGATCCAGTGCCCTTTGCCCCAAAGAGCCAGTGCTTGCTGGTTTGCAAGTTTGAGGACCCTTGCATAATTTTAAAAGATTTTATGGATTCTCATAAAAAATAAGCAAATTTGATAGTGACTGTGAAGAGGTGAGAAAAGCTATTAAATGATTTGTATCTGGAGCAGCTGCCTCTAGCTGAAAATAATCGTATAAATAGTTACTGATATGGACAGATTTTATAGATGCAAATGTAGATCCATGACAGTTCTGTGAAAAGTCTGTGAAAAGAGAATCAACGAGTCAGTGTATTTTGGTGTGAAAACAAATTGGAGTCCGTGCATGGTTTTCCACCGCTGCGTGTTCCGTGCACTTGGCGAGAGCCTTCAGAGATGCGGGATCAGTGTCGTCTCGGGGTAGATGTGGATATATAGACCTAGGGACACATAGATACAGGTGGAGATAAGAGCACATGGAGAGATTTACCTATACCCAGGGAGATGCAGAGACGAGGTATCAGTGTAGCTGTAGGGACAGAGATAGGGAGATAGAGTAATACAGAGATGCAGCCACAGCAAGAGAGAGAGATGCAAGTACAGGTGTGGAGGTGCAGATACAGAGATGGGGCCAGACGTGCAGGTACAGATACGCAGGTGAGGAGACGGGGACATAGGTCCTACAGACGTGCAGGTGTGGAGACGGGGTCATAGGTCCTACAGACATGCAGGTGTGGAGGCGGGGACATAGGTCCTACAGACATGCAGGTGTGGAGACGGGGACATAGGTCCTACAGACGTGCAGGTGTGGAGACGGGGTCATAGGTCCTACAGACATGCAGGTGTGGAGACGGGGACATAGGTCCTACAGACATGCAGGTGTGGACAGAGGTGTGGAGATGTAGGTAGAGACATAACTCCAGGTACAGATATGCAGGTGTGGACAGAGGTGTGGAGATAGGAATGGGGATGGAGACATAGGTCCTACAGATATGCAGGTGTGGACAGAGGTGTGGAGATAGCAATGGGGATGATGGGGGTGGAGACATAACTCCAGGCACAGACATGCCCTGGTCACTCTCGGGCAGACAGAACACCCGGCTGGCCCTATTCCAGGCTGTGGTGAGCGGCCTTAGTGAGGGCTCTGAGCTCTAGGGCACCCACCACTGTCGCTGGGCATGGAGACCCCTGAATCGGCCTCAGAGTTTCTGATCCGCTTAAAGCGTGTGCAGGCTCTCGCTTGAGAAACTAAGATGGAAACCTAGTGAAGGGCCAGTTTTGAAGATTCTTGATTAACTGAGATTTCCAAAAACTCTGCGAGTGTGAGCTGAAGGGTGGTGTTGAGTGGCCGGGGCCCCGGGCTCCCTCCTCAGTGGATGAGAGGGGAAACCCCGGCTGTGTTAAACACACGGGCGTCGCCACGGGTGGACACAGGACAGCTATCCCGTGACTGTCTTCTGCAGCCTCTGCTCCTGGTGGGACAGTGTCGCTCTGACTCTGGGGTTACTGGCTGTGTTAGAATCGTGACGAGGTTAAAGACAACAAAGAAAAACAAAGTGGAGGTGAGGTACTTCTGTGTAAGGAAGAAAAAAACTCCATCTCTAGCTATTGATCAAGAATGAGGCTCCCGGGGCTGGAGCGGGCACTCCCGCTGATGCTGACCATGGCCCTGAAGTTGTGAATAAGAGGCAGAGGACGCACGTATTGAATAGGCTCCACCTCCGCGTGGTTCTGCGTGTCCTGGCTGCGGGCGTAATGTGCATGTACCGTATTTATATTTAATGTGCATGTACCATATTTATATTTAATGGACTGAAACTGCTGAATAATGAACCCAGGTGCTGGGGATTTACTCCCTGAGTGGACAGGGCTATGGAGAGATTTTCACTGTGAGGTCAGAGTATTAGAAGGTGCGTCCAAGACAGATGCCCTTGGCTGTGACCACCCTGTCACCGGTGCCTGCCTCGTTCACAAGGCGGCTCCCCTGGACTTCTCGGAGGCGGGTTTCCCCATGAGACGGGCAGTTTCCTGGGTGGAGACACCACCCCCTCCCCCCCCACTCCTGGGCGTGTGCTGAGATGGCAGAGAATAGAGTGTAGAGATCATCAGGAATCTCGCGTCTTCTCCAGGTGGCGTAAAAACTGAGGGTAGCCAACAAAATCAGGCGTTTTATTGGTTAAAAAATAAGAGCTTGTTCCAGTGTTACTTTCTGCTCATGTCTGGTGTTTGCGTCCGCTCAGTTCGATTGTCTCACTGGGGGTGGCAGTGGCTGACCAGACCGCCAGCCTTGTGGATGGCTGTGGTGCTCTACCCGCGGTGCACATGTACGGTCATGAAGCCGGCACATCCGAGGTCCCCCGAGCAGCCCCAGGCAAGGTTCAGTGCCTGTGAGGTCCTGGAGGAGAACTCTCCTGGGAAAATCTACAGCAGGAAGGGAGACACCCAGCCTCGGGCCAGTCCAGCAGGCCATTTCAGGGGCAGGAAGTGTCCTGCAGTGACCCCCGCTGTGAGACAAGGAGGCTGGCCTTGCAAAGCCCTGCCCGCTCGTCCCTGCCCTGCCCCTCCGTGAAGGTGGCCACAGTGAGGGGTGGGGCGGAATCCGCCCAAGCCCACTTGCCGAGAAGGGGGCTGTGCCGGGTGAGGAGCGGCCAGCAGCCAAGGCAGCCAGGGCCAGAGGGCAGGATCTAGGTGACAGGACCCCCGGCTCTGCCCAGAGGAGATCCCACCGGGCTGCTGTGTGGGAGGCCTCTGGCCCTGCAGGACCCACGAGGACACCCAGTGACTGGGATCCCGGAGACCATGCAGTGCTGGCTGAAAAATTAACCGGTTCATTTTGTACTGGTCCAGATGATTGGCTCCCAAATTAGAAAAACATTAGGGCTACACTGGAAGTTATTTCATGAGCCCTCCGCAAGCGCTCATCTGCGTCTCAGTCCCACTCCTAGCTGCGTCGCTGAGCCGGGGCACAAACACAAGGCGCCGGGTGTGGTCAGCATCCAGCGAGAGGATGCACGGCTGTCTCAGCCGGGCACGGCCACCCGGTGGGCGCTCTCCTTAGCTCCTCCTGAAGACTTAGGGCTGCCCTCGAACTGAGCTGTAGCCTGCCTGTCCCAGGAGGAGGACGT